ATGACATAGCCGAAGAGTACTTTAAGCGGGCTCTCCTATCTAGTAGGGATATTGGACAACACTTGCTCGAGTTTTACTCTCTTTGTTATCGATCGGTGTTTAAGGTGTCACAATATTAATGTAATCTTGAAGAGGCTTCTTTGTATCTTTTTCAAGGCATCCAAAAGTTCGACACTTTGAGAGGTTTTCTTAAAGAAAACGATCAGTTTCAAATATCTCTTTTAGAAGAGCACGGCACCTTTCCCTACATGTTCTTCAGTTGGTTGCTTTCTTCCACAAGCCTGTAAAAAGAGGATGCCATCTGCGAAGGACAACTTGAATCGATACACAGAGGAAAGCATTTCTGTAAAATGCTTATCAGACATCTAAGTTTATTAATTTGAAACAAGACAGCGTGTAGCGTATCTCTTTATAAGAGTTCCGATGAGTTAGTTTAACTAGGAATTGTCCACCAAATTTTCGAAAATTTGCAAAAACCTGAAATAGGTCTTTTCAGACAACCCACTTCTTTTGTTACGGTTACGCTAACCATGGCCTATAAATACCGGCGTGTAGTGTTTACACGTAAAAATCCTTGAAGAAGTCCACGACAACTAGACGAAACACGTTGGAGAATAAAACAAGGTTTACAACGACTGTACTACAATTCTTTGACAGCAGAATAAACAGTCCCACATGAAAGGGCTTCTCCGTAGCTTTCATTTGAATGGTCAAAAAGCAAGGTGACAGACAAACACAGCGACAGCAGAACTTTAAAAAGTAAAAGTAGAGTTGTGTGAAATAATTTACAAACTAAACGAGGAGTCGGATTCGTTCCTATCTCTAGTTATCTTCAATGTTAGCTCTTTCCTTCAAGGAAAAACGCACAGCACCGACATCAAAAACAAACGCAATACATTCACAAGAGCACATAGATAGCAACCGGCGGAAAACTGTCCGAACAAACGAATGAAGTATTTTACATGGATGCATTTAAGAAGATAAATTATTTCACATCCTAATAAATGACATAACAGAAACGACAAAACTTTGTACTTACAATTATCCTCCGAGATTTGAAATGTTAATAACGCCTAAATACAAGCTAAGACTATCTTGAACTAATCTATATCAAAAACTAAAAGATAAGAGCGAAATCCAATTGAGTGTCCCACGTATAAAATCTAGACTACCTTTCCTTTGCTTAAATAAGCTCTACGATTGGTCAAGAAAACTCGCACCATCCTCTCCACCAATCAGATCCAAGGCTAAACACCAATCACGACTTAGCAACGTACGTTTTCCCGCGCTTTCCTCTGATTGGCTGTTTTACTTTGAGATCCCACTGGCTCCTTTCAGAAATTTCAGTTTGTTCTCATCGTTCATTGAGATTACAAGGCCAATTCTTTGATCTTGCATCAGCGACATTCAATTGAAAAGCGCTCTTACAAAGCTTGCTAAAACTAACACCCTAAATAATATTAGAAACATTTTTTTAAGACTGTTCCCTCGGCTAAGAATAATGTGTACAAAGTAAAACTTAGGTCTTTTACTAACTAGGATCTCTTATATTCAGGTCCAAACTTTTTCATATAGTTCTTAATGTACTCTTTTGTTTCGATTTTGACAGAGTCATTGCACTTCAGTGAGTCATCTTCTTTCAAGTGGCTCATCTCCTTATTCAGGATTCCGTGTGTTAACTGCGAAAGAAAAGAACGTTCCTCAGTATAGTTAATTTCAGAAAGAAGACACTTGAAATAAAATTGATCTGACCCCCCCCCCCTAAGGCTCTGTAGTATTCGAATGACTCCCCCCTTTTCTGTAGCCCCCCCCCCTTAATACTCTGTTGCGGCGACTGATAGAACACCTTGTTGAGCACATTAAAACATTACCATGCGAGCAACAGTTTACAGTATTTTTCATTTGGACGCTATAAACCAGAGTTTCACCCACAGACTCGCAAAATTGGATATAATTCACTTTGTAAATACTACCGACTCAAGTAGCGATGCTTTGATTTCAACAAAATAAATTAAGAATTAAAAGGTTCAGCGAGAGAAGCACACACCTTCCTTGCGAAATACTTGAAATCGTCAGTATTCAGGATCCTGCCTGATTTACAGTCAACTTTGAAGAAAGGATTTAGGCAGTTAACGACCACATTAGAAAGCTGCGGAGAGAAATATCGAAAACGAAAATACATCAGTTAGTAAACAGATATACAGTACATCCGAAACAATGCTGAAACAATGATGATGACCGATAAAAATTGCGTGACATATCGAGAAAGAGGCCATGGCGTGACACTGGCGTCACAGGCTCTGGGAAGGTAGCGTCACCACTGAGACGGACTCAACTGACCTTCATTCTAGAAAGCTCTCTGTTCTTGCTCTGGTGTGACGAGGAGCTGCTTGAGGTACCATCTCTCAGCAAGTGATCCCCCCTCCTGTGTGCAGTGGTATCTGCTGGAGCTGTGGTATAGGTAAGCGTTGGGCTTTCAGGGGGGGTCTCCGGAGGTGTTGTAGGAGCCTTTGCTAATTTCTTTATTTTTGGTTTTGGTGGTGAATCCTGGAGGAATAACAGGAATAGTTGACTTCAGATTTCATTCTGAGTGGACAAGGAAGTAGTTGCCACAATCCAGCTGCTGGTTTGCCTTACCTCGCCCATATCAACGTAGCTGTGAGCAGAAATACTTGTATGATCAGGTTCTGGGACAACATAAGGGTGTTCTTCCTCTGATGAGGGGCTGCTGTCCCAGCTTGGAACATCCCACTGAGTTTTCGTACGAAAAGAAAGAAAGTTAAATATGAGGATCACTGAGTTGGGGGGGGGGGGGAATTTTCCAATAGACATTTTCAATTTTTTTTCGTAGACGCTGTTGGGCGATAGTCGCCAGGAATAAAATTATGGTCGACAAATAAAATAAAAGAAAACGATACATGGAAGAAGACATCTGGTGCACGGCTACTGACCAAGGGCCCGGGACACACTTTTAACTCTCTCATGAAAATCAAACGGCTCTAGCGATGTTACTTGCTGAAGAAAACAACAGAATCATTCTCCAATAGATGATTAACGCTTCCAAGACCTAGAAGTAACTAACTCGTCACAGTTATCGTATGACAGAAAACCCAGATACACAACAGTTCATTACTTGCCAAGAACTCACGGTGGGCATTGAACAATAATAAAGCCACAGTTCTAACAAACGAATAAGATTCCTCACCTTGGGCATGATAGTAGTAGACTTTTCCTTGGCTATCGGTAGCTGATTTCCAATGTGGAGGGAGATGCCCCGGTGGTTTGTGTTTCACAGGTGATGGCGTGCACGGTTCTGGATCTGAAGGAAAGCCCTCTCTGCATTCAAAGGCATCTGACATCGATGTCGTCACAGCTCCAGTTTGAACAGAGAGCGACCCCAACTCGGGGTGTGGTACACTTTCTGTTGGATCAGTCACCTGCTGTAGAGGCCATGGTATATTTCCGGCTTAATTCCCCTGTTGAGCGGCCGCGATGTTGAGGTTTGGAGGGGGTGTATTAAACTGAAACTGATTCTGCTGTGGTGGAAAAGCAGCCTGGATGCTTTGAGGAAATTGCTGTTGAATAGGATTAGGGTTGGAGTGTGAAAACTGTGTTAGTGGTGGAGTCGTAACATTGGCTTGAAAAGGTGGCAGAGGAGGAAGCCGAGTGTAAGAGGGGGTAGGTTGACTAGGTGGAAAGAACTGCGATTGACTACTCTGAAGGGGTGGAGGAGGTACTTGCTGCGGTGGCGGTATAAGCGGATTTGGCTGTAGCTGCTAAGGTATCATTGGATGAGTCTGCGGACGGATATTAGGCGGTGGAACTTTGCGAAAAAATTCCATAGGTGACATATTAGGAGGAGGTACATTAAAGTTTGGTAGTGGTGGAGGTTGTTGAGAGAAATTTCCCACAAAACTTCCTAAAACTACACTTTGTGGCCGTGGTCCTTGATCATGTCCAACTGCTGGTCCGCTGCTGCAGAAGAATTGGTTTCCCATTTAGAAAGTCGCAGGGGGATTTTGCGACTGACCTCTCCACTGGGTTGCCGTACCTTGCTGAGGTCTTAAGTTTGTTTGAGGATTCACGTTAAAGTTCCCAGCGTTTTTATCTACCAATCCTTGAGGATTTCTTCCCTGTTGCTAGAATAAGTTCTGCAATTGATTCCATTTTTTCTTTTTGCTGCGGCCGGGTTTATGTCGGAAAGAGCCCATCCCATGCTCCACACAGACGCTCATGCGCTGTTTATAACCGAATGTCTGCATCATGTTCTGTGATTTCGAATCTTGTTTCTGAGTAACTTCATCAGAATCCGACACCCGTGAACTTGAATGAGTTCCTTCTCCTTTATCAGGAGTTGAATCCGCTTGGGTATCCACGTCTTCTCCGAATTCCGAAGCACTAAAGTCACCAGTTTTTGACGGAGGGGTAGCACTCGAAGAGTCTTGCGGCATCTCAGTGTCTTCACTACAGGTAGAGAATCCCTGAGAAACGGGCGGAGTTCTGGATTCAGATGGATAGAGGGGCTTGGGGGAGTCCTGTAAACTCTTCATGATGGCATCTAATTTTCCTGGAGAACCGATGTTCTCAATGGGAGTCCTACAGAAATACAATCATAGATCAGATCAGAGATTCAAAGACCATTAATAGAGTAACTTTTAATTGAGTTTCCAAAGTAATCTGGGTTTGTGCTGGTTTTACTCTACTCTGCTCTATGATTGGTCCGAAAAAACTCGCGTCACTCTCTCGACCAATCAGATGCAAAACTAAAATCAATCACGACTTGGTCGCCCGCATTTTCCTGCCCTTTGGGCGGTTTGCTTGTTTTTACTCCGAGTTCTCATTGGCTCTTCAGGGTATTTTCCATTCTTCTTTCCATAATAAGTACTTTGGTTTTGTTTTAAGGCACTCAATCGGAAAACGCTCTATCAATGGTAACCCTTAATTTCCAAGCCCAGACGGTATAAAAATTCATCTTCTGAACGTAGAAATTCTTCAAACCTGTTCTTTTTTTCAATCTCTTATTCAATTTGTTGTCTCACCTAGCATGATCATCGTCACCACTTCCTGAAAAACAAAATCAAATCAATCACTTTTTAACAATCATTTTTTCCAAATTGTGATGATCCTCATGAGAAGTTAAGTTCTTTCTTTCACCCGCCTCTGTGAAACAACAAATAAAGTCTGAAAAAAAACTTTGTCACATGCATGTTTTACACAAAATTCACCCTCTGATGAAAATGCGTAACTATATCAGGGTTCCATGGTCAAAAAACTGATCAATCAAGCAATAAACACGATCATGTAAAATAGAATTTACCTACCTGCTGGGCTAGCTGCGACTAACAACTCGGCAACACGGTCTTGCTTGGCCTGAACAAAGAGAGTCAGACGATCATGCAATTGAATGTCAAACAAACAACAACAACATTTAAGACTATCTACCATATTGCAAAAGTTAAAAGCAGCAAAATGGAATGCGATACCAACACTCTGGCTAACTAAGAATAGACCCTTTTTTTTCTCAAGCAGAGAGTTTCACCCTCTCCTTTTGCATCAACGATCGGCTTTAAAACCAAAGCTAAAACGAAGACAAAATACAAAATAAATAAATAAATAAAAACGGAGAGGAAAAATGCCCACTGTTTCGAGTGTCACTTTAATAATACTTACTGGAGTTGCAGTTTTCTTCGGTATTCGGTAAACTTCCTACAAACAAAAACAAGGCAAAAAATGCCCCAGTTTTAGCGCGTTAGACTCTAGCTCAAGGGGTCTGAAGTAAAGCTCTAGCTTGTTGAGTCGAGTTCGCACGAGTTACAAACAACCACACCAGCTAGTAACTCACGGTGTTTTAAAAACGTATAACCTTTCTGGTAAAACTCAAAACAGAATAGAAAACTCAAAACAGAATAGAAAATTCAAAACAGAATAGAAAATCAACAGGATACCTGTACTTGAATAAGCTTTGTGTTTGAAAATTCTCTCGGTTTCCTTTTCCCTCTCTTCGTATCCTTGTACAAATTTCTATGAACGTTCCAATTTGTTCTCGCTTATTTTGCGAGATTTATTATTGTTTTCGTGTTTTCCATTGACTTTTGCAAAATACAAAATTCATTTCATCAAATTCATTTGACAAATTCCTTGTTTGCTTTTTACGTCTCCTCCTTGGTGAGCTTGTGATAGGTGGGGTTGCTTACATAGAGAAAGAAAAGAAAACCATGAATTACACCTAAATTGTGTGACCTTATACCTCTACAGTCTAGTATCAGTATGCAGATTCTCTGTACTGTTCTCTATACATTTCATAAGGTGCTGACAAGGAGAGTTTGTTTAAAAGATCTGATTGTTAATTCTCCCCTCTAGCTGCTACACATTTCCTTGTAAATTAGTTACAAGAATTTGATGTTAGATCGAGATAAAAACTTAAACCTGATAAGTTTGAGTATTCTCATTATTGGTTTATTGGATAGTGTATGAATATTAAAGGGAGAAGTTATATGTTCAATACTTCTGGGAGTTAACGGGTTAATGTGTGACTCAGGGGGGATATCACAGGGAGAAAGTAAATCCTGGTCACTCTCAGGGTTGTAATTAAAAATCTTTTTGCATACTTATTCTTTCCACTGTGTTCTTCAGAGGTGTTTGCTTGTCTCCTCCAATAAATCCACGACAATTTGGTGCTTCACATTATGGCAAATCTGAGCAACTTTCCTGATTAATGACAAAAATTATAACTTACTATGAATTTTTTGTAAGCCTCTCCTCCCAAGTTCAGAAGGGATCATCTTTCTGTGTGACTGCTGTAAAGTTCCTTAAATTTTAAAATCTCTCAGTTTAGTGTCACCTACAGACATGAAGCTTTGACAGTAGCATGTACATTGCCCACCTACCCATAATGCTGCAGTTTGTAATCAAACGTGAGCTCTGCACCAGCTGGGATAGGTCTCTGAGTAAAAAATCCAATCCTCAACAAGCCATGGACAGTCCACTATGAGAAGCAAAAGAACAAAACCCACTCAGTTCTTATCTTAACCCTTTACACCCGAACATCAGTATGCACACTCTCCATACTGCTCTCTAAACAATTCCTAAGGGGCTGACAAGGAGAATTTGTTCAGCAATCAAGAACTTCTTCAGTTACTGATCATTTCCTTTATTCTCATGACCTACAGGTTTGATTCAGGGGTAATATTGTGGGGAGAAATTGGATGCTAGTCACTCTTAAGGGTTAAAGGATTTAAGTACAGCTGTAGATGTGTTTTCTTTCAGTTTCCTGTCAATCAATCTACCATAGATTACCCCTGGAAAAAGAAGTGAAAAGCTGGCATTATTGATCATAATATAAACTGGTAAAATGGACTGAACAATTTATTAAACTACCTTTTGAGTTTCACGGTTTGAGTCACAGCTGTGGTTGATAAACTGAGACAAGTTCCCCTTGTAGGTGGCATCAATTAGCTGAACAAAGAAGGAATTTTAAAGAAGCTATAACTCATTAAGTAACAAAACCATGAACTATAATGATTAGTCCACCTACATGTACTGTATTACGTATAATATTTAAAAAGATGGGTTCTTATTGGAAGGAGGGCACTGAATTGAGGGGGGTGCTAATATTACTCTCCCGTACTGATTGCCCTATGGTTGAGGCAATAGAAACAGGTTTTCCTCGTGTCCCTGTTATTTAGGAAAGTGAGGAAGGAGGGGGGAGGTGCTTCTTTTAAGATGGGTGCTTAAGGCCTGAGGGATGGACATCTATTTGGGAGAGGGTGCTTATCAGAGCTTAGGCTCTGATTCAAGGAATAAGCATATATCAAAATTTAATTTCCCACAATGGATGATTTCAACATCATTTACTCAGGCTCAATGCTAGATGTAAGTCACATATAAATCTAGTAAACAACTGGGCTGGCTATGGAGTTCCTTGTAACTCAGTTGATAAAGAATTTGAAAATGATAACAGGCTGGAGATCATAACATTGAACTGACTGGAGTACATGCCATTTAAATATGTTCTTTGTCCACACAGTTGACAATTGAATTACAGTTAACCCTGTAACTCCCAAGATCTGATTGTTAATTCTCCCCTGTAGCTGCTTCACATCTCCTTGTAAATTGGTTATGAGAACTTGGTGCTAGATCAAGATAGCAGCTTCTCCCTGATAAGTTTGAGTATTCTCATTACCTGTTTGCTGAATAATGTGTGGATATAATAGGGAGAAGTTTCTTGTCAATCACTTCTGAGAGTTAAAGGGTTAAGCAGGATTTTAGATACGAATCACAGAAGGCAGCAAGGAGGAGGGACTAAGGAGAGAAGGGATACCTCCTGACATGTGCACAACCACTTGAAGGGATCTAGGGGTACACCAACCCTCCTCCCACCCCTCCCTCCATAAAAATGCTAAAACTTGGGTCTCAGAGAATGCATTTGTGCACTTTGAAGTAATAATCAGGTTATTTCAGTGAAACTAATCATTGTCATTTCATTCAGCAAAAGGAGCAAAATCATATGAAGTGGCCTACTAGGTTAACAGACCACCAGCCCTTCTTGAAATCCTGCTCACTTTTACTAAGATGTCATAACTGTTCGGTATAGTGATCTACTGATCAATTCTGGGTTTGAAAAGCCTTAAAATGACCAAAGAATTTATCAGCACTCATCACAGCAGTGCTGTTATTGTCTCTACTTAGGAAAAGGTTAAGATTTCCACTCCTTACCTCATCAGCTTTCAATGTCATGAATTAGTAGTGTCTTCTGTTTTCTCTATCATAATGCTCTGCTCTTTCCTGGAAATCTTTATAGTTCATGACTTCTCCACAGTACTCCATACCAAACTGATCCCTGGACAACAGTTACAATTTTTAATTGAGTGACAAAAGTATTGGGGATTGTTTTTGTTTTTTGCTATACTCTGCTCTGTGATTGGTCCAAAAAAAAAAAAGAAGGTGAAAACACAAAATTACTGACCTGCAAAATTAAGTACCAATAAGGCATTTCTTTCCTGAAGATAAAAGTAAAAATATAAACTTACAATTCCAGATCTTCAAGAGTTCTCCATTCCCAGCCTTTCTTCTCTGTTTTAAACACTTCAACTTTCACTTTACAGCCCTGCAAAAAGTGCTGTACATGTACATAAATTTGAAATCCTCTCATGGCTGATATCAGCATATAAGTATCATCTCTCATGAAAGCATATTTAACTCCCAGAAGTGATTAAGATGAAACTTCTCCCTGTAATATCCATATATCATCCAGAAACAGGTAAGGAGAAAACTCAAACTTATCAGGTAGAACTTGTTAAATTGATCAAACACCAAATTCTCATCACTACTTTAAAATGAAATGTGTAGCAGCTAGAGGAGAGAATGAACAATCAGATCTTGGGAGTTAAAGGGTTAAAATACCCATTATCTTTGTTAAAGAGGCAGTTGCTTCAACAGCTAACCCTTACCATTTCAGTAACATCAATCTTAATGTTGTAATGATAGTTTCACTAACCTGTTTCACATCTCTCCACAAGCACTTCTGCTGTTACTATTTGGAGATCAATGTGATCGGCAATGACGATGTGAGAAGGAAGACTTTTGGCAAAATTAACCAACAAGAGAGGAAAAGATACCAACCATTCTATCATCAACAATCTGTTCAGACAGTCCTTGCCACAACCACTAGAACATGGATCATCTGTTAAAAAATATTGCAATATGTTCAACAACAAAAAATTCCTGTTTCCATGTATCTGTTCAGTAAAAAATTGGATCAATGTCAGTATCTGATCAACTGAGCACCTACCCCTCTCCTAACCCAACATTAATCCTAACTTGTTATCAGTTGACTGTGGTTGAATTAGGGGAGGAGTAGGTGTGCAGTTGTTCAGATACTGACATTGATCCAGGAGACCACAGATGATGTTGAAATGTGGTATAAGAACAAAAAAAAATAGTACACAAGGCACAGTTGAGTGTGTCACTGATGTTTGTACCTCAATATAAATGTGGAATTTATTTGAAGAATCTATTTGTTTTATACCATAAAAAGGCATAGGGCAGGTCATGCTCAGCTTATCTCAAAAAATATGATTAAGAAGACCTCAACAGTGGGTTGCTAAGTTCACGTACTGTAAAATGCACATAACCATATTCAGCATATAGTGAAGTCTGTGTCACAGCCATTATCTGACCAGGATCTAAGGTACAATCACACTGCATTCTGCGCACTTCCTTGTTGATTTTCTTCTTTCTGAAACATGAAATGAAAAACATGTTGCCCTGGTAACAGTAACAAGTTGTTTGAAGGGTAGAAAACTCAACTATTTTACACTATGAAATAGTTAAACACTGCTAATAGTAATTAAACATAAAACCCACCTGTTAAATAAGTACTCATTCTCCTCAATATGCTCATAGTAAGGTGGTTGACATTCTTCAGCTGAAGAAATGATGTGCTCCTCAGACACCTGGAAAAGTAACAGCATTCATAGGTATTTTCAGGTACTTTCAATGTTAACAGTGGAAAATTTCAGGAAGACCCATGGACTTCAAGACATACTGTAACTATCTAATGCTTCACACACCAAGTGGAGTGACAGATAAACAATATACAAATGGATTTCAGGATGCCATGCCTCTTCACAATGATCTGTTTCCTGTTTGAAATGACTCGGCCTTCAAATATTCACTGCAGTGTACACAGTTTAAGAAAACCACCAAAAGTGTTTCACTTTGACCAACTTTCCCGCCGATGATGCTCTACAGTTTCTCAAAACTACCGATGAATAACCTTGCTCACAATCTTGGTCAGATTAGTTCTCTTCCCAGCAGCGTAACGATTTTGTAAACTTTGCCCCATTTACTAGAGATGCAATTCCAATGAACTAGACTCAATCAAACTGTTTTATTCCACTCTCATATTCACCCATTTACAACGGGTGTGTAAAGAGCTACTCTGCATAACTTGTAAGAAATCACTCTCTTATACTATATTCTCTACATTGTGATTGGTTGTTGCTAAGTGCTGATTGAAAAGGTTATTCAAGGTTGCGTCAATCATGCAAACCAATCAATGTCAAAAAATCACGAAAGCTGGTGCTTCAAGCTCTTGACATAATGTTCACACTCATCATCTGACATGTGTCATGCACGAATCACAAAGTCTCTGACAACAAGCAGTGTAATGATCAGCAGCAGCAGCTGGTTACTGAAAAATATATACAGCATTCGAAAAGTTGGGTGACCACCAGAAAAAAAAAATTGGAGTGAGACCAACTATAATGAGACAAAGTTGGGCGATTTTACGTTGCTCAATTTAAGAGACATTTTCTTCCACAGAGTTTCCACTGAAACTATTATCTACCTCGACTCTGAATGAGCCAGAAGCTTATCCATAGAAAACAAAGAACACAAAAGAAGTGGGCTGTCTAAAAAGACCTATTTCAGGTTTACGCAATTTTTGACAATTTCAAGTTAAAATTTCCCTTTCTTGTGCCTTTCAGTTATTTATACAATTTATATGCACAAGATGTGTAGCTCAAGTTTGCTAAAACTTTAGGTTAACTGATTTTGTTGTTATCGAAGTACTCCACTGTGTAGGTGAATCTTGGATACATAACAAATTGATGAGTTGGCTCGTTATAATGCACTCATGATGACTTAAATTGTGGTGAAGTTTCCAACTCAGATCTGTATGAATCAATGGAGGACATCACACATTGTCTACCTTTTAAAGTTATGGGAACTTGCTATTCTGAAAAATACCAGAAAGCATTACAGGTAGCCTATGAGTATCACTATGAACATAATAAACACATCTTTGCTAATGTTAAGGCTGAACCTGACAAACCCTATAACAAAAATGCAATTGCAGTATACATAATGTCTTCCTCAGACTATGAGAAAGTTGGCTATTTACCCACTGAACTAACAAGATTTGTACATCCTCAACCAAAGGATCCAAAGCTTGAGGTGACAGTGAGGCAAATCAGGTTTTGTACCACATTTCTTATAAATGGTTTTTACTTAACAATTGAAATTTCCACAACTGATCTATGGGAGAAGCCATGCAGTGATTAAAGCCAGCCGCAGAGTAATCCTAACCCTAAGTAAAGAGTGAATCCTGCAAAATGGCAAAATTAAGGAGTTCTATTTAATTTGTGCAAGTAATTTCAATGAGAGAGATATCTGTTTCATGTAAAATTTCACTTGCATCACAGGCATGGCACTGTCTGGTCTGGGATTGCACAAACATGGAATAACCTTCTGGCCCTCTTATTGCCCTGATTTGTTATGGCCTTGGCTATATAAATATACCGCTGCACAAATAAGATATTTCTGACAAAGTTGAAGTTAATAAAAACATTGATGAATCTAGTGTCACAAAGTGATGTATAACCACAAGCAGCCCAAGCTCCAGCTGTGAGATGATCAACTTGCAAAATAAGAGTCATGGCCAAATTACAAGATTTTGTATGGGAATATTTCCAACCGCTGTTAGGAATAAAAAGTACGGTCAAATTCTCAATAAAAATACCTCACCTTACTTCCACAGTATATCGCTTGCTGTCTGACCACTTACTATGTTGAAAAGAACCCATTTTGGTCCAACGCAGAATCCAAGGCCCGCACGAAAAATACAAAATGGCCGGGCGGCCACAAGTGTAGTTTCATTTCAATTCACTTCAAACTTAACCTTCCCCGTGAAACCGAAGTACGCCGCGGGTTTAGACGCGTACCCATTCACCTTGACGCACGACAACTGAAAACCAGCTTGGCAACCCTTCCTCCTTTATAAACTGAGCCTCGCCGGGGATCACACCGTAACTTGGCACCCGTGGTTCTAAGACAATTTCTTCATGCCAAGTGACGACTAGATTTCTGAGCCAAAAGACAATGTTTTCGCTGCTTTATTAAGACGCGACAAGTACTATTCAAGATAATTACACGATTGAATTACGTGACAGAGTCACTAGTCACGGTGTGTTTCAGTGTGTGCTGTTATCGCCAGTTGTACCAAATAAAATCCTGCAGTTTGTTTCTGAAATGTTCTTACAGTTTTGAATAGCGTAAGCTGTCAGAACTCAAATATGAAATAACAGAAGCCAAATTTTTAAAAAAGAGTTTACCGTTTAAATGTTGACCGAGAGCGCTAATCAAATTAGGATACGTTTAGGATTCGATACGTTGTTGTTGACGTCTTTCGTCACGAGATAATAAAATTTTGCAAATTTTGGCCTTTTAGAATGTTTAAAGTTTTAATCGGTGTGGTCCAAAAGCTCTTTCCTACTATCTTTTAAACTTAAAACGGATAAAATCTGAGATTTATGGAGCTATTTATATAAAACGGTCGGAGTTTGCTCAATGAACTAATTTGCATAATCGGCTGTCACGCTAGCAAAATCGCTAATAGTTTGAAGTCACCACGGCGAAAAAAATTGATAGGTGCAAGATGTATTTATATTTTTCTGCTGCCAAACATCTTATTAGAAGAAACCAAGCGGAGTTTTCAATGGTTTGGTCTGGACTTGAGCAATATCAACCAAGAAAGAGAGAACACTTTTGACCAATTTCAGAAAGCTGTCGACTAACGAGTGTCTTTAAATAAATTATGACGAACCTCTGAATAAACGAATATCAAAATTGAAATGCGCTTTATACGCCTTATATATCACACAGTTTAAGAATGCAAAAGATTTTTTTGCTGCATGCGGTGTGATACGAGGACCGGGCTTTTCAACTTTTGAAATTTTCCATGTCGCAAGAGGTCAAAAAAGGGCCTTTTGCAGCTTTGTCTTTTGAGAGCTGTAAAAATTTTGTTTTAACATACAGATTTCAAGAAACTAATATGGTTTTATTTACTAGCTACCAAAGATACTTTATTGGGCAAAATTTGAGGGAAAACTTTGTTCCGATGCGAAATGCCTTTGGACCGCTCTTACAGAGATCGCCTCTTAATATGAAAACAAACAAATTAATTTACTTCCTTGATTCTTCTGCAGTTGTCCTTGGAGCGAGTTTATTCGTTTTCCTCGCTTGGCTCTTAAGCTTACTGGTTTTCCATTAATTCATATCTGACGGTGGAGAATATTTCCATGTTCATGTTGGATAGTTTGTCGCAGTTTCCACGCCAAGGGAAATGTCAATGAAAAGGGGCTCAGTGCATACATTAGACTGACGGCTCCACAAATAAAAGATTGTCCAGCGCTTGGTCTAATAAAAACCTTACGTAAATCGGCCAACGACAAGCGGACAAAATTAATAAGTAATTGATAATACTTAAAGGACCTTTTCCACTGGCGCTTACGTTTGGCCGTTACGTTCAGCGGGCCTGGGGAGGAGAATGTCTATGGAACCTACAGTCGAACAGGAACAGACAACCACATTTTATTAGCTGCCTGATATGACTGACGTATGACGTGTGTTGGAAAAAAAACTTTAAGGACGAAAAGAGATGGTTAAAGTTATTTTTGAAACAGAGCACTGAAGGCTACAGATTGTGGTAAGTACTGTCTGTGAAAACACCTGATTCACTTCCATCATGATTAGAACATCGGTTTTTAAAACTGCTTCAAACCTCGTCCTGTTGTGAATGATGTGATAAATGACTTGGCGGAAGAGAATTCTGACATGTGCGATAGAAATTGAAAGAAATTCATAAACGGCAAAGTCGGTTAAACGTTTTTAAGCCCACTTAGACCTACCAAACATTGACTAAATTCGACGAATTAACTGGTATTTTAACCGACACTGGACATGATGATTTCTTTCAAGCTACCTTCTTTGAAGATTAAATTCCGACATCCTCTGAGTTAGCCGAAGGGCAATCTACTAACGCACCAACCTTGCGCAGAATTCCAACCGTTATGTGAAAAATATGAATTCCGAATGTCCATCACAAAATCTTAAATGAAATTCATTTTGTTTTTTCCAATGAAGGAAAGATAAGGAGAGACGGATATTTGTTATCCTACTTTTAATGCGGCGCCATTTGATGAAAATATATTTCGGTTTTGTAAGTCTAACTTTTTTACCGATGACAATTGTGAGCATGCAAAAATGAAACAATTAATTTTTGTTACAGGTAACATCCGGTCTCAGTACACATTGTTTTGCAAGAACTGTTGGGTTCTTAACCCAAAATTACAATCAAGACTTGTTACAGTACTGAATTGGAGCTTCTGTCTTGAAACGGTAAGCTATTTGTGCTCAATGAGTATCTCTTCGCGAGCTGTTCATTTTCCAGTTAGTGCTATTTGCGTCATCGAAGACAAAGTTGGTAAATAACAGGAACATCTGGTTTGATCAGTGTTCTACCCTAAAAAGACAACACATTGCTCTCTCCGTTTATCTTTTAAGGGTGTTAATCTAAATAAGACGGAAATACTGTAAAAATCACGTGATGTCATGATCGAGAGGATCTCGCTTGGCTTCATGTAAGTGATGATCAACAAATGAGACCTCTTTTAGGGAGGGGAGGGAAAGGTGAATAATGAACCTGAACTACTACAACAAGAGGAATTTTCCTAAGAGTGTACAACATCGGTCATCTATTTGAGTTTATACATTCTCTTTATTCGGGCAAGCGATTTAAACTTGAAAAGTAGTGCCGAATTATGAAAAGTTGAAAATCTATTTCTCATGATATTCTCAGGCCTTGTTATATCGGACCAAGTGAATGGAACAAAGT